TCCGCGCCAATAAAACTGCTTGTGTTTGGAGACAAAAAAATTAGATATCAAGCCAATTTTTGAACTCTCAAATCAATTGAAGCGTACTCCAGTAAGAACGTTCTGCATCGACCGAAACAAATGTGAGTCTGATGGTGCAAGGTCTGGGCTATAAAGCGGGCGAGTTAGGACTTCCCATCCGGTACTATCGAGAAGTGTTTTCACGATTTGTGCCACATGCGCCTGACATTTGTACATGGTGGAATATCAATGACAATGCTCGCTTCAATCACATCAGCTGTTATCTGAAGAAAGCCCCGTCGATTGTCTGATTACTTTCCAGAAGCTCATTATACAGTATCCGGTTCTAGTTACACCAAATGCAGAGAATTGCCTTGCTGCCGTGGTTTATGCGTCGATGGTCCAGGAGAGAGGGAAGATGTTTGGTAAAAGCCGTTATCCAGGTCATGACGTAGACGATTCAGACACAGACCAGGAGGGTGTAAGACAAATACCAACTCAAGGACAATGGGAAAAAAGCTCTCCAGCCGTACAAGCTAGCCATAAAGCATAAACAGGTGGCTACCTTGTAGAGAGTTCTTCGGTAAATTGAACGGTNTACTCCAGTAAGAACGTTCTGCATCGACCGAAACAAATGTGAGTCTGATGGTGCAAGGTCTGGGCTATAAAGCGGGCGAGTTAGGACTTCCCATCCGGTACTATCGAGAAGTGTTTTCACGATTTGTGCCACATGCGCCTGACATTTGTACATGGTGGAATATCAATGACAATGCTCGCTTCAATCACATCAGCTGTTATCTGAAGAAAGCCCCGTCGATTGTCTGATTACTTTCCAGAAGCTCATTATACAGTATCCGGTTCTAGTTACACCAAATGCAGAGAATTGCCTTGCTGCCGTGGTTTATGCGTCGATGGTCCAGGAGAGAGGGAAGATGTTTGGTAAAAGCCGTTATCCAGGTCATGACGTAGACGATTCAGACACAGACCAGGAGGGTGTAAGACAAATACCAACTCGAGGACAATGGGAAAAAAGCTCTCCAGCCGTACAAGCTAGCCATAAAGCATAAACAGGTGGCTACCTTGTAGAGAGTTCTTCTGTAAATTGTACGGTTAGCTACTATACATTTCGTACTGATCGAACGAAAATATCTGAATAGGCAGATGGCATCAAAATAAGATAAGTACATGATGATCGTTTTAATCCGTATAAAGAAACGACTGCATTAGATAGAGCGGGTCGGTTAAGGCGAATTACATTCATTTTACTGCTAAAGATGATTTATCGAAATCGGGGAACGCTGCCAAATAAGAGGTTGTAATGAAAAAAAATATGACTTGTTTGAAACATTAGCTGGGGCCCGCTGCGTGAAAAAGTTACCAATGAAAAATTTCAATCAGCTTAGGATGATACCCATTCTTTCGATGATAATCACGACGACTATTTAAAGGACTGCTTTTTGGGGACATGTACTTGGAATGTCTCAACCCTTCTTCAGGAGGATACCTCCGCTGACATAACTACTATGCAAGTAATGCGCTGTACTGGCAAACCAAGAAATATGACCGGCCTGCGACGTTTAATATAGCAGCGTTGTAAAGCAGCGAAGGATGCGGTGTCATTTTAGAGGGGGAAGAGAGCGATTTCGCTCACCCCGAATAAGGAATTTACTGCCACTTTCCGAATCATGCAGGATTCCTCAATATTTTGTTTTTCTGCGCCCTGTTGCGGATATTAATATAGGGAACTGCATACAGAAACGGGACGTATCTTTCGGAGTATACACGGAGAGATCGAAAGACCAGCGAACGGGAAAAACGACAGAAAATTTTAAGAAAGGGTTTTAAGACCAGGGCGAACTCCTGTGACCGATGTCACATTGCTGGAAAACACTTAAGTCGCTAGAACTCACGGCCTATCAGCTGTGTTATTAAATAACGGTGACGAGGAGCTTATTAGGTGCATGTCTCAACTATTATGCAGAATATGGCCAGATGAAGGCATGCCAGATGACTGGAATTTAAAAAGAAAGGTGAATCCACCATATATGCCAACTGCCTTTATAATTCGAAAATCCTCAATGGAGCAGGTACTCACCATACGTCAATATTATGCAAAAACAGCGAGAATAGGATCGACCATCACCGCCTATTTGTAAATTTCAAGGCCGCATTCGACAGCATGAACAGCAGTTGTCTTGATCACGCGATGTCTGAATTTTGTATCAAGCCCCGTTAGAATTAGAAGCAACTTCTTCGAGTCTTTTCATACCAAACGAGGTTTTCGACATAGCGACTACCTTTTGTATGATTTCTTTGGTATGATGCAGGGTTGTTGCGAATATTATTCCGAACAAAAGTCCTTTCCGGGTAATAAACAAACCGCTAATCCACCATAAACAAGTTTGGTATCAAATAGAAGAGGACTTAAATAGCTGTAAAAGTGAAACATCTAAACGAGGAAAGCCATATATTGAAAAATATTTTAATAAAAAATGTTAATTAAGTACCATAGAACAAACCTTGTGTCGGGTACATTAATTTCTTTAGTTTTTCTTTCATATGATAGAAAATTTGGACAGGCGTTTTTTTTTATTATCCGGAAAGCACTTTTATTTCGGAATAATATTCGCAACAACCCTGGTATGATGTTGGAGAAGATAAGAAGATCCGCAGAGCTGAATCGCTCAGGTAAAATTTTTTATAAGAAAGACACCAAGTATTAACGAAGAACTTTTTAATAACCAGCATTAGCACCAATAATAATGCCAACCTTGACTCCCAAAGGAGTATCATTCTTACCAGCAAGTGCTGCTTTCAATTCAGTAGACAATTGAGAAATAAGGTCCTCTCCCGTTCCGATGGGCCGTTTAGCCCTTGAACTCTTCTAGAGAAAGATTCTGCGTGAAATTTACCCACCTTTGCACGTAGTCGACGAGAATACCGCTGCCGATAGAATGATGAGCTGGGCATGAGTCACGTATGACGACAATCGTCTGAATGATATCGTGTCGAGATTGTATTGCTTCATGAAAACCAAAAATTGTTTGATCGTTTGCGCGATATCGTCAACTCGATTCCAGTTTTTCTTCTCGTAACAGTAATAGTAACACGTAAGAGCAACACAAATGCATAAATCAGTGTTTTTACGAGGTCGTTTTGTCAGTATCATTTGAACGACTATCGTTTCAAAGTTACGTGATTCATGCCCTGGTTTTACCACGACATATTAAATTGAATTAAGATAAAGCGATTTCTCTGTATTTGTCTTGTCGTACGAAGAGGCGGAGAGGGATTTGGTTTGAATTTCCATTTCCAACTTGCATTAGTTGCTATAGAAGGGAACGATAGGCATATTCTATTGGACTCGGCCAAAAACGGCTTAGGATGTTACAACGCCACCCAATGGGAAGAACGTAGCTAATTTTCATGGCTATTAGCTGCCGTAGGACGGCCGCTATTAGATAAAACTTTTGCTACATTTTGATGCTCATCGTTGAATTCATCGTCTGAAGTATCAAAATTGGTAAAAGTGATACATTGATTTTCGATTGCAAAAATAGATTCTGTTCTTTCTACCGAATTCCATTGCTTGCTTACAAAAGTTCCTACGGGGTTCTTTGAGTCCATTGTTGAAAGTATGCGAGAAAATATTACATACAACTTGTAAGTTTCTGTAGGTATGTATGTGCGTCTGAGCTGAATGGGTTGGCAAGTTGTTTCGTATTTGTTAAACACTAAGTGTTGGCATATAGCATTTTGGGAAACATTTATGCCCACTTAAGTTATGATATCACACAAATACATAGTTACATAAGTATGTATGTTGTTGTGCGAAAGCAATTCATTATTGTTGCCCGACCGTATATGTAGTAGGGTGGTCGCAAAATGCGTAAGAAAAAATAAAAGTGCGAATTTAAATTCTCCCACCCCATAGGATTGTTCTATATCGAAAAAATATACCACTGTTTTTTTATTTCGAAATCAAAAAATATTTAGAGGTCTCTCAAAGTTTTCAAAGTATTTTATATGTGGGAAAAATTTTTTCCTACAAATAGTATAAGATTCTTGAAAATCCATATTTTTGATTGAAAAACTATGTTTTCCTTCCGAAGTCTTTCAATAATGTAACTCAATTGTTTATTTTACCATTTTTTAAGACTAACAGTTTTTTATATTACATTTTTGGGGTTTTTTTCAGAGACCTATGCGAAATAGCTACTGTTAAAAATATAAACAGAGAAAAAGAGTTTTCAGATCGAAAAATAGTGATCTTCAAGAATTCTATGCCACTTCTATGAAAAATTGTTTTTCCCCATATAAAATACATGGAAAACTTTGTGCGACATCTTAATATTTTTCAATTTCGAAATAAAAAAAGGTACATATATTTTCGATATAGTACAATCCTTGGGTGAGAGAGTATTGCAGCTCTGACTTTACTTTTTTTCGGACCACCCTAATGTATATGTACATATTTGTACATACATGCGTGTATATAATGAAACGAGTATTGAGCGCGCGCTGTAAGTGGTAGTTGATTATGGTTAATGTGCTGTTAAAGTGTTACCATTGTGCGTAAATTAAAGTATACATGTGCATACTAATGTGAGTGTTTATGTATATATGTACGTAGATACATCGCCGTTTATCTCGAAAAGGTTGCTTGGAATTCCTAATGAAAACGACAAATTGTTTTGATTCGACTTGACATATAGACAGTTATGTTGGATTTGGCATCTATCCGTACGTACATCAGAATTAAGGTATGAAAATATAATAATAATAAAAGCATAATTTTGGGCGTAAACGCTTTGTCAATAAACCACTTACGAAATTATCACGTACTTATCACATTGTGCTGAAGTGTGTGTATCTATTTAGATATGATTCTACCACCAAATAAGTTAATACCTAGTCGTATTCATGTTATAGCCGCTGCGGTTATCTTATATCAGTGCCCTATAATATTTAATTGCGCGACCTCTTAATAGAAATCCTCAATTGCAGGTTTCACAGTTGTGATTGCTTTCTGGGTTATTTAATAAGCCTCCTCGTATTTCAGTAATTTTTATAGACTGTCACTTTTAATGTTGTAGCTGTGACTTTTATGATTATCACTGTTGGGTGAAATAAAAATATATGATTTTACGCTTTGTAATTTTACTCTTATTTGGCAGTGATTTGCATTTATATGTTTTGATGAACAAATATTACTGTATAAAAATAATAATCCTATGAGTTAATATTTTAAATATTGCGAGCTTGCGAGTGAGTCATTTCATTTTTCTTGCTCTTTCACGTGAAAAAATTCTAGACCGATTTGGATAGAACAGCTTTTTGACATAATTTTCAATGAGATATATATCAAAAAAAAAAAGAAGCTGATTTTAACTTTGGAGTCCACTTTATTTTGACTATAGCTACGGGTCAAGGACTTTACTATAATCCATCTTTTATATTACTTATGTAAGGCAATTACTTACCTTGTATGAACCCAAATCTTGTACAACGCAAGTTAGAAACGCTTCACGCCCCACAGACGCTGTCACATTTGCAATTGGAAAACTGAATTTGGGATCCGCTGAAAGGTAACGAGATCAATGATTAAACAATTTTTATTTATTAAATCAAATGTTTAGCTACTAAGATAGATGCTAAATTGTATGGGAATAGAAATACACTACAATAACTGAAAAAATACTTAAATTTGTATACAATTTTATTTTTTTAGGGCAATTCTGGCTAAAAAGTTTTTCGTAAGACAAATGAAAGACTGATGGTAAGATATTTCGAAATACTTTTGTTATTCTGCACCTTTTCCAACTGTATTTTTTTTTTAAAGAGAAAATGAATTTCAGAAAACTTCAACTCTATTTCGGAACAGCGGAAATGCATAAATGTATTTCAGATAAGAAACATCACAAATTAGTGTTTTTTTTGTTCTACGAATGCCCCTATTTATTTCCCATGCAGAATAGCCCGCTGATTCCGAAATTCGAGTTCATTTTTTATTCTTTGGATAAGTTTTTGAGATATTTTCAATTTACCGTTATTCAGCTTAAAAC